CCCTAAACAATCCTTGACAAGCGAGCAAAGAAGTTTAAATTTATAAAGAGCTTTGACAATAGTTTCTACATATTTGTTATTCTTATAAAGTTAAACTTGTTTAAAAAGTCTAAAATAGATGTAGAAATTTTAAATCATTTTTTGCTAAGTTCTCAAAACATAATTCATATTTATTTACAATAGCTTTCTTATCTCATTTTATTTATTTATATTAAGAGTATCTGATCTTCCACAGTGTTCCCCTTTTAGCTGACATTCTTATAATTTTTCTGCTGTTGTCTGTTGGCTTTTGCCCGCTTCCTTTTGGAATTTCTGCTGTTTTATGAATGAAAATGTTTTTTCTCTGCTGGTTTGCGGTTGGGGCATGCTTCCGTTAAGGCAATCCAGCAAAATAATAAAAAAAATAAAGCGAAGCAAAAGTGGCACGGTCAGTCTGCGTGCCCCTGGCGATTCCTCAACTATGCAAAGTATTATTATAATAAGTATAAATTCATCTCGTTTATTTTTTTATTTTTTTGAGGAGCCAACAGCACACAAATCTGTTCTACTTCCGGCTTGGTTTGAATCTTTCCAAGAGCCGAGAGCCTGAGAGTTTTCACTGGAATTCTCTGGGACTCGAAGTCCGACTCGAAATCGGAAGGCAGATAGTGACCTAACAACTTCCGTGTTACTTCCGCTTCTTCGGCCCCATCTTCCACTTCCGTTTCTAACAATTTTAATTGAATTTTCGTGTAAACACACCGACTTCAGGCAATATATATTTCTATATATGTATGTCGGATGGATGGTTAGACTTGACCAGCAAACTCTGGATGGGATCAAAACTGAGGCTGAGCCGGCATACTTCCGCTTACTCCGGCCACATGACGACGCCAGATTGCATAATTCTCTAGCCCAAGAAAAAAAAATAAGGAAGAGAATAACCCAAAATAGGAGTCGGGGGAAAAAGGGAAAGGGGAAGGGGCAGCACACAAAAAAACAATGTGAAAAGGAAATGTATAGAAAAATCATTAACGCACAGACAAAAGATAAGAAGAGAGGGTGCGGGGTATACAATACCATACTATATAGGATATAGCGGAGACTACCTGATGGCAACACACTTGTGGCAGGCGGCAGGCTGCTGCCAGCCATCCGTCTCGTCTAACGGTTGGAAAATCGGGGGAAATCGGAAAAATCTCCGGCCCGGACGTTAGTTGATCGTCGTGTGTGCGTCAACGCCCTCATGGGAACCAAAAAAAACCCAAGAAAGAATCGAGAGGCGGGGGATTTTGAGAGAGAGAATACAAGCAACCAACTGTTGCCGCTGCTGCTGCACCGGGAAAACTCAGACATTTTCCGTTTGTTGTGTGGAAATTTATGTCAATGATTGTCCTTCGGTTAGGCAGTTATTGATAGCACCAGATGAGGGCCACAAACCCAGAAACCCAAAGCGGGGCAGGTGCACCTCTAACCTGGCTCTATGTTGCAAAAGTCAGGTTCGGGTTCTTGTGAAAGTGATGCTAGTAATCTATTACAAATATAATTTAAAGCAGTACTGAAAATTATTAAATGTGAATATTATTAAACTTTTTCAAATATAAATTAAACATTCAAAAGAAATATATAAATAAAGCATTCTGTATAAAAGATTTTATGGATATGCAAAAAAAAAAAAAAAGGAAAACCTATTGTGTTTATCATAATTATTGCTTTAAGTTTCTTAATTTTGTATATTCCTTTTGTTTTGAGTATCTTAATTTTTTTTAACAGAAATTACAGCATCTTTAAATTCATTTATTGCTTTTATTATAACTTTAAGAAATAGCAAAGAAAAGCTTTTATGGTAAAATGTTTTGAAAACAGGCAAATTAAATAATAGGAAAGCAGAACCATTATAAAAGTTTAGACATTATATGAAGTTAAATAAAGTAAAATAAAATAAAATAACTAATTAATAGCATTACTTTAAAAAACCCTTTCTTAGAACTTTTTTGTAAGAAGATAAAGAAAATAAACCCCTTTAGCAATCCCTCTGAATTGGCACCACTGCTTTGTGCAATTGAAGACACCTCATTTCCGTTGCGTGGAGCGGCATTCCCGGCATTCAGGCAGCCACATGAGGCATGACAGCAATGAGGCTAGAAGTAGCTCCAAGAATTCCATTGAGGGGAGTCCCCCGCGGGGCAGCCTTCACCTCCAGCTCCCCCTAACCCACTGGTTACCCCAAAGCTGGAGGTTGTGTGCGGGGTTAATTTGATTCAATTAAAGATCTGGAATGGGAGAAGGGTTCCCTTTCTCGGGCGGCTTTCATTGAAATCAAAAGTCACAAAAGTTTGTCAATGCTTGCCGCCTCACGTTGCAGTGTCCAGCTGCTGGGGCAAAAGAAAAGGGGGCAAATGGGGGGGTTAAAACGGGGGCAAAAACTGGGAGGGGGGAGTGGCAAAACTCTTTCATTGTCTTTGGCGCGTTCTCAACTTCCGTTGGCACTGCACTTTGACACATGAGGCTAATTGTTTGACTGCTTGGGGAGCGGTATACGCGTGCTGCTGCTGCTGCTGGAGATCGAGCAAATTATAAAGTGTGGCAGCAGCTTGGACCCCCCACCCCTCCGCTCCTCTTACCCCTCTGGCTCCACTCCACCTTCTTTGGGGAGCTGTTAAACCGGAAATCCGGTTGCCTTCTCTCCCTTTTCGCCGCCTTTCTTGTGTTTGCTTTTTCCCTCGCTTTTTTTGTTTTTTTTTTTTTGTGTTGGCCTGGCAAAACTTTTACTACTCTTCCAGCTTCTTCGCCAACATAGAAACTTTCGTGTTGTTTATAAGTTGATTCTACTCATGCACAGAAAGAAATGTATTTCACATTTATGAATTTATCAATATAATAATTTAAAGTTCTTATGTACATATTTTTTAATGATTTTTATCAGCATTTAGCTTATATGCTTTCTTAGGAATATCCAAAGAGCAGCTAATAAATATTTTTTTAATTTTTAAAGATCGAATTTATTAGTTTCTTTAAATAAATTACCACTTAATGCTCTAATAATTTAATACTACATATTAAAAATTGATGGGTATTGTTTGATTGCCAAGTTGTTTTTTTCCAAGTAGTCTTAAAAAGGGCAGAGAATTTTTCTTAGTGCTCCTATTGTGAGCGGAACCGAGATGAGCTGATGGCATTGGAATGCCGATGAAGCATGTCTTCTTTGATATGTTGCCCCTGCCAAGTGATTTGCTTATCAATATGTAAAATTTTTTATACGTATAACGGTGATGTCTTTGAAGTGCCATTTCCCGATACAACAAAAAAACAAAACAAAAAAAAGCAGAAGGAAAAAAACACGAACTGAAGGGGAAGAAATCTCAATAAACATGCTCGAATTTCAAAGAATTTCTCACGCTGCTTACTCAACGGACCCCCTCGAAACTCCACTTCTGGCATATCCTGTCAGGGGTGGATGATTGACAATGGTCTCTCATAGCTGCGCCCCCTTTTAAATCGCAAAGAATCTCAGCAATGCCCGAAGCTCCTGCTGCCTGGAAATATGAATAATCAAAGTAAGGAAAGGGTTAAGGACTTCGGCAGGTGCTGCGGCCGAAAAAACTGGGTCAAAAATGCGTGGGAAACCGAAGCGGAGAACACGGAAAAGGAAGTTCCGGAAGCGACATTATAAAAAAAAAGAAACGAAATCAGGAAGTAAATAAAACTAATAAAGTGAATAAGGAAGGCAGGCAGACGACTTCCGGAGGGAAGCGAGATAGAGAAGCGTCGAGAATTGTCATAGAGAACACTGCGGTTCAATTGAGCAAAAAGGTAAAAGGTCAGGCAACCTGTTCCGGATTCACTTCCGCTTCGTCTACAGCTAATCCCTTTTTAAGTATAACAGCCAGTTTGTAAGAGAGTATGTGTGTGTGTGTATGTGTGTGTGTACTCACTTATTTACTTCCGTCAGTTGCACTAAATCACTTCCGGACTTCCGGTATGCGCTCTCCCAAAACAAAAAAAAAGGACCTCAAGGAATGACCCTCAACAGCTCAGGTAGCAGCAGGTGCAAGCCCAAAAACCCAAAAATAATTTGAATAAAAATCAAGAAAAAAGGAAAAAAAAAGTGAAGAGATAGAAAGAGAATGAACTGAAATTGAAACCAAACAAAACCCTCGACCAAAAAAAAAAAGGGATAACAAAAAAACAACTCAAGGTGCGCGACAGTTCCACTTAAAAAATTGATTGCTTTCGATAATTTCATTGGAAACCTGTTGTTGTTGTTGTAGTTGCTTTTGCTGTCAAGCATCAGTAACAATAAAATCGAATGATAGAAGGAATCAGCCTCTGGAGTGGCATCCTCGAAAGAAAAGCACCCATCAGTCGCTAGTTGTTGGTTTTTATGTTACGACCAGGACGAAAACACAATGCATAAGTTTTTATTGGGTTCCGGACTTGGACTTGGGCAAACAACAACAAAGACCTTCAACTTTTGGGACTTCTCTCTGTGTTTGGAGAATTCAATTAATGAAATGTATTTGCCGGCGAACAAAACAAACAAACACACACCAAACATATATCCTCGACTTTCGGTCCGGTTTTAGTCGTTGTAGTTATGTTAATCAAGTTGGCAAGATTGTGTTGACACAAGCGGCTATTATTGAAGGGTTCGAGGCATTTAGATGGAGGCATAGAGATGGAGATGGGATTTTGCCTTTATGGTTTGTTTATCATATGGTAATTTGGCAAATAATCAGGGGAAGCTTCAAGAGGATAATAATGGACCCTCACGGCTTAAAATGAAGTTCTAAATGTGTTTTATAGGTTAACTCAAATTTGAAGGTTTGTTTTGGGGAAATTGATTTCTGATATTGTTATCATGAATTTTGCGAGACTATTTAATTAACAAAAAAATATACTACTATACAAATTAATTTAATAAAGACAATCATCAATACAACAAATATTTTTAAATTAATAATATTTATGAATATGGTTTTAAACATTTTTCTAACAATTTGCTATTATTTTTATTTAAGGACTCTGAGGAGGATTTACCCATTTGTGCACCAAATGCCGTTTGCTCCAAGATTGATCTATACGAAACCCCGTGGATTGAGCGTCAATGTCGCTGTCCTGAATCGAATCGCATGCCCAACAACGTGATCATCCATCATCACAATCATCCGTCGGGATCTGCAGATTCCCTGAAGTACAGAAACTACTACGAAAGGGAGAAAATGCTGCAGCACAAGCGAATGCTTCTGGGTGAATTCCAGGACAAGAAGTTCGAGAGTCTGCACATGAAGAAGCTTATGCAGAAATTGGGTGCCGTCTACGAGGATGACTTGGATCATCTGGATCAGTCGCCGGACTATAATGACGCCCTGCCCTACGCGGAGGTGCAGGATAACGAGTTCCCTCGAGGACCTTCGCACATGAGGCACTCGGGACATCGGGGATTAAAGGAGTCGTCCACTACGTTTATTGGAGGCTGTCCCAGTAGTTTGGGTGTAGAAGATGGTCACACTATTGCCGATAAGACCAGGCATTATAAAATGTGCCAACCTGTCCATAAATTGCCAGTTTGCAAGTAAGTAGAGAACATCAGTAGGGTTATGAGTTTACAAACGTTGATTAGGAATGCCTTAATTAATAAAAGTATTTTTTAAATTTAAGTTAATAGGCAAAGAAAGTTTTCAAAATGAAAAGATAAATCTTGTACTATTATTTAACCTATTAAAAAGTTTTCTTTATATTCAAATTTTGTTCAGAAAAATTTAACAATATCTACATTATTAACTATGCAAGCTTAAAAACAAACACAAAACATTTTCAAAAGAAGAATTGAATACAAATGAATCCCTCTACTTTTCATTTTTTAGAAACGAAATCTAACCAAGTACTTTTATTTTTTCCAGACATTTCCGCGACTACACTTGGACCCTGACAACGGCAGCCGAGTTGAATGTCACGGAGCAGATTGTTCACTGCCGGTGTCCCCGGAACTCGGTGACCTATCTGACCAAGAGGGAGCCCATTGGCGATGGCAGTCCGGGCTACAGATACCTGTTTGCCTGCTCTCCTCTGACGGTGAGTTAATATTTCTTTTCCCTCTAAACTTGGCTATAATGTTACGTTTCATTCTCATTTAGCGCCTTCGCTGTCAGCGGAAGCAGCCGTGCAAGCTGTTCACGGTGCGAAAGCGTCAGGAGTTCCTCGACGAGGTCAACATCAACTCGCTGTGCCAGTGCCCCAAAGGACACCGCTGTCCCAGTCATCACACGCAATCCGGTGTGATAGCCGGCGAGAGTTTCCTGGAGGACAACATACAGACGTACTCCGGTTACTGCATGGCTAACGATTGAGGTCATCGTCGAGGGATCATTCCACACATTAAAAACACATTGTAAAGGAGGACAGTTTGAGCGGGGGGAGCAGCTACTATATTAGATACCGACTGAGCCAATTGAGTCTCGCCAAGTTACCAACTAATTGAGAAAGGAATAACAAACAAATACAAGCTTAGAACCTAAAATGCACTTCCACACACACACACAGAAAACATTTTAAAGTCTTGAGAGAGCGTGTTTCTTTTGCTACCAAATTTTGGTCATAAAACGTATGATATAAATATTTAATTAGTTTTAAGCATTCGATATGCGCGCAGTTTGTTATACAAATAATTTGTAATGAATATTTATGAAAACAAGAGCAAAACCTGCAACGAAGGAGGCAACATCCTCCATTATGTAATATAGCAACAAACTATACTCGTAATCTAACCCGCATAAATTGTATATATTTTGATATGTATAACTAAAAAGAAACAGTTTCAGTTTTAATTTAATCGGAAATTACGTAACGAGCAACGCAGCAAACGTCAAAGAGCAGGATGTGCCAAATGTGCAGATGAGGTGCAGTTAGTTATAACGTAAGGATATATGTCATTGAATAATTCATAGCGCGGGCAGTTCGAAACTGTGGCAACTCTGGCAGCTGTTTTAGTGCAATTTTTGTGACGTCTTCAAAGTGCTTTCCTCTCTTAATTCAGCAATGAGTTTGCAAGGAAATTGGATATTAACTTAGAATTGCGCAAAGGCTTTTAACTCCATGTAAACGTATAGTAACCACCATGACTCCTCCTCTTCCCTCTAACTTAACTATGCATATGTACATCGATTTAAGAAACAAGATTTTGTTTATCTAAAAACGAGCAACGAAATTGAGCGATGTTTGAGCTTAAACATTTTGTAAAAAGGCAAAAATAAATTTTAATTTATGAAAAAACTAGTTTTCTTTTATTTTGTATTTTTTTATGATTTGTGAATTTAAAAGGGAAAACTAAATAATTTAATTTTTCAATTTTAGGTTAATTTATTAGCTTGCCCTTAAAGGTATGCTCGCAATTTTTTACTTACTAACACAGACTCATTTCTACTCTCTTCTTGTTTTCTTTCTCACATACTTTTAGTTCTCTCATTGTTGGAAAATATATTGCCTACTTATGGACTAACGTATACGTACGTATACGTTTTTTACAATCTACGTACAAGATTGAGTTTACTTCAACATTCTAGTTATGTAAAGTAAAACAAAAGTAAACATTAAAATAATACAAAAATGCTTAGTAATTAAATCAATTATTATTATTAATTATATTTAGATTGGTAATTATATTTTAAGCCTAATAAGTATCAAAATCTATCTAGATTAAGAATTAGAATTTAGAATAAGTTTGCTAATTCAGCTAAAACAGCTACTAGAACAAATATCTTAATCAGGTAGAGCTAATACAATTAATTTTTCACACCAATTTAACAGCGAGATATGGCAATCTGCATACAAGCAACGGAAAATCCTCAACCGACAACACATCAATCCGGAAAACGAATAGAACCAATTATAACGCCATCAAATTACAATTCATGCTAATAACAGACAATTAGAGAACTCAGGATTCGCTGCCTTAGTTCTTGACCAAATTGCCACATGCCTTGTGGCTCCATCAACAAAATTATTCAACCGCAGAAGTACTATAGTACTTCCTCTCCAAGCTCTGCTCAAGCAAAAACAATTAAAATTAAAGCAAAAGTAACCGTAGAAGCCAAAAGCCGAAGCTTAAGCAGCTGAAAATGCAAATCATTGGACCAATGTTGATTAGAAAGCAGCTGGCGGCGGCGCCTGAAGAAGAAGTCAAGACCCGTCATATAATTAAATAAATACCTCAAGATGCTCAAGCGATGCTGGACAACCACTGCTGTCTTGCCACAAATTCAATTACTGACAATCCATAAAAAAAAACAACAAAAAAAACAAATTTATCAAGAATTATGTTATAAAAAAGCATTACGTTTCCACCGAAAGAAAGAGGTGTAAAAATCTACAGTGCGAAAAGCCGAGTAAATCATAAAAAGCGCTCACAAAAAGATGAGTACTTTTTTATGACCATCACCGGAAGAAGAAGTTGGAGCATGAGAGAAATATGCCACTCTATATTCTATAAGGTGTTTTAGGCGGATTTATACGAGTATTAAGCATATACAAGATCCTCAAAATCGTTTAGTGTGCCAACTAATTAGCCAAAGATCTTAGAAAAATGCCCAGGGAAAAGATGCCGCCGCCGCAGCAGCCGCATAGCCCATAGCCTCTATAGCCTCTCTTAGCCACATGAAAACAGACAGAATGGGCACAGATGGTAGACAGTTTATAGCATTAGCCCCTTAACAAGACCCAGCGAAGAATGAACAACGATCCGAAGACACACAGACACTTAAAAAACTTTAATTAGAGTTTAAGGAGCTCGGTACATTTTTCATTAGGCCTGGCTATGAAACTCACTCACTTTTTAGCCATCAGAACAGAAACAGAAACAGCAACAGCAACAGAAACAGCAACAGACACCGAAATTGCCAACATTTAGTCGGGGAAATAATTCATTGTCGCCCATTACTCCGCGTTGTCCTCAATCTCGATCTGAGGTCGGCAATTTTCACTTCAACATGGGATTCTTGTCCACAGAAGCCGGTGTTTTTGGCTCAGTAAAAGTCGAAACTGAGATAAAAGCAACTAAATATGTTCAAAATTGGTTCATTCTTAGTTGCTTGCTTTAGGTTCTATATCTAAAAATCATTTCAGCACATATGTATTCTTTTATTCTATAAATATACTTTTAACTTAGCAAACTAAAATCAAATGAGGTTCCAAAATAAAATATACTTTGAATGGGTGACCACCCTCTGATCACAAAACGATCCCATATTAAGAGAAATAAATCTTCAATCTTAAGCTTGAGATGCCAAACGTTATCCATCATAGACATTCCTGAGTAATTAATATTTTGGCGAAAGTTTCATCACCCATCAAAACGCAGCGGGTCCAAGTTGACTGACTTTGCTACTGTTGCACGAATGCCGTCGATAACTAATTATTTCCACTCATCTTTCGGCAGCCGAAAGGAGGCAAAAAGCTGCTAAGGTGTCTGCATCTTCGAAATTTATGAGCCATCATCGCCGCCTGGCTCTCCAACTCCTCCTCCGCCCCCAAAATGTTGGGATATTGAACCAAACTGAGATGGCCGTCCATCCATATATATTGATTGATTGGCTTTGATTATTGGCCGAACTGCCGATGGCTGAAATTTGCATGCCAAAAGCGACGTAGGGTGAATTTGGTTGCAGGCTCTCGTTTTCGGTTTCAAGTTATTGGATACGAGATTTATATGCATCATTAGAAAATGCCAGCAGAGCTTCTTTTGCTTCATTCGCTGCTCGTAACTTTCTTTCGCATCATTAAAATGACCAACAACAAATTAGCCGCAAAACAAAAACAATACTACTATAAGAACTGTCCACCAAAAATATGGAACCCCAAAAACATACAAAGTTGCATGTCTTGAAGAAAAAAAATATTTAAACACTGCGGAAAACTAAAATGGTGGGACAAAAATAAAATAAAAAATCTTAATGAAATTTTAGAGATGCAAAAGTTAATGGAGAAATACAAATACCAATTTTATATGCATAAAATGGCACAAATGATACATATTTTTAATATTATAAAATATACTTTCTACGTTTATATTATTACTGAACATTTTATATAGAAATCTTAAAGTATTTTAAAATATAGAAAAGAAAATATTACAGCATTTAAAAGATTTCTGTATTTACTTTTAGATTTTCCAAGTGGAGAAAGAAATTTCTTTCGTGTCCGAAAAATTTCTTTATTTGCGGGTCACTAATTAGACGCGATTTGTGGGTCCGACCTGACATGCAATCTCCCCCAAGAGGAAGTCACCAGAGGAAGGGGAATGTGGCGAGTGGGGAGTGGGAAGAGCTGGCCCTTTAAATGGCCAACATCTGCATAATTATGCGTTGTTGTTGGCGGAAGGTGCTTATGCAGCTCAATGAATTTAATTGGCGACATTAGGCCCGGAATGGGTTGTTGGTGGTGGGGACGACTTTGGCTCTCTTATCAATTTGGCCTGGGAGAAATGAAAAATGAGCAGCAGCAGAAGCGCCGAGCTCACTCAAATATAATTATTCTTAATATATATCTTTACCGCAGCGGGTACTTTTCTGCCTTTTCTGCCTTTTTTTTTTGCTGCTATTTTCACCGTTTTTTAACTGTCCATACAGGAAGCACTTCAGCTGAAGATTTCACCTGTTGCTTAGAAAGTGAAATTTCGTGGGCTTTTTGGCTGCTACTTTTTACTTCTGTGAGATGATTTAAATGCGATAAGACATTAATCAATGCAATTAGCGTAACAATTGCTTATTGATATCCAGTGGCTGCGGATTTTTCGGGCTGGACAAATTTCCAACAGATCTTAATGGCATTTTAATGGGAGCAGGGTGAAAGTTTATCGATTTATTTTTTGGAAACTGTGTGTGTGGACTGAGGAAAATCTGTGATATGCAAAAAAAAAAAGCGGCGCGCGCATAGCGTTTCTTAATGGCGAATCCAGACAATGCAATAAACTGCAACAATAAAGCAATAACAGTAACAATAACAATAATTGTAATAGCCAAAGTGCAGTGCCAAGTCATCGCTGATTCAAATGGCGATGGCAATTCAAACGGAGATGGAGTTGGAGATGCAGGCGCGAGGTGCGGCCGCCGCAAAACGAAAGCCGAAAGATGCAGAGATGCCGAGAGATACAAGATACAAATCATGCATTACAATGGGCAGAGGCAGATACTATACACACAGGCAGGCTGGGGCATTGAAATTGAAAGTAACACACGACTGCAACTTGATGATGATTTTCTAATTGCACAAAAGCCGAGATGACTCAAGTGCCCCAACATATACAGTGTGCGGCATGAGCATTTTTCCCGAAAGGTGTTAAGTATGCAAATGACGAGCAGCTCTCGACTTAACATCTCGTTGCTCGTTGCTGTCCAGAAAAAGGTAGGAAAAATACTACAAAATATACAAGTAGATGAAAAAAAAAATGCAGTCATGTTGTAATATTTACAGGCGCAACACACACATGATCCATGTGGGCGGGGTCAGCGCGCCTTTTTGGCCCAAAAGCGAGCGGTAAAAGTCGCCAGCGATTTTGACCCCACAGCGGCCCCAAAGCGGCAGCAGATTCGCATCTTTCAGATACTTTTACATGTACTTTCTCTACTTAGACTTTGGCTGGCATCGCACAATTTTTTTTCATTCGGTTTTTTTCTATTTTTTGTTAGCCTCCTGCCTTTTAGGCCGCGCCTAATCGGAATTTGTGCGCAGGCGAGGAGGAGGATCCGGAGGAGGAGACCCCAAGATCACCGGAGATCGGTGGCAGCGACAACGCTTTGATGTTGTAATTAACTTTCATTAGACTAGGCAAACAGCTCCGAGAATCGCTGGCTAGCAAAAAATTATCGCAAAAAGCGTTGGTAAAAACCCACAAAGAAATCTCTTCGAATTTGGAACTTCCGTAAGCGAATCTCGCATTTAAACCTTTAGTTGCTTTTTTTTCGCGTCTCGTCTTTTTTTTTGCGCACTTCTCGGTAGAGGGGCAAACTAAATTTCACTTTCGCTACACAATATCAACAGCGATTTAAGTGTGTGCTATATTTAAGTATTTACTTGGCCAACAATACAAAAAGTGGGCACAACAAAAGGCAAATAAACTTTGGGCAGAAATACCCTAGAAGTGACTTAAGGGAGACTGTTTGATTAAGCTTATAAAACAATTTTTTTAAATGTTAAATAAATGGTAAATGGTTTTAATTGGAATCAATATAATTTATCTATTTATATGTATAGTAATCCAATTTGTAAAATACATTTCT